TTTAGGGCATTTCTGGGAGAGGATACCTATTAGGCACACAGAAGTTTAGAAATCAGGAGGGGTAAAGGCACAATATTGAGTCTCCAAAGGCTAAATATCCTTATTTACTTTTCAAAGAGATGATATCCACCTCTGATAACATGGAGTGACACCCTTCTGGTGTCCTCGGCAAGTAAAGAACTATGGTTCCAATTTAGGGCTTCTGATGTGTCATAAGAGGATGTTTGATATCTAGTCATTACTGGTGTCTGGAATATTACTTTTTCACGTCTTATCTTCCCATTAAACAATGTGAGTAATAGATTTCCTGAAATTAAAACAAAAAATGCATTTGTTTAGCCTACAACATAATGAAGATTCCACTAAGATTTGTTTTGAGAAAGAAAAGTTTGTCACATTCAGATTTAATTAAATTTCTGTGCTTTATGTTTTCACGGCATGTCTTAGCCTGCTCTTGTCATTTTCCCAAAGGTAGAGTTAACAAATTCCAGTAACTACAAGAGGTAATCTTTTATCTACCAAAGAGAAAAGTGAGATTACTATAAACCACTAGAGAGCTACAGTGCAATCTAAAGAGACGTATAACATGAAACACAAGATCAAATAAAAGGATAACATGCCAAAATGTAACCCTAGTATATTACACTTTTATTGCAATGACAAAAGCAGCTTAAAGAAGGGCAATTTTATTTTGGCTTACAATTTGAAGGTACAGTCTATCATCATGCAGAAGGTGTAGCAGTAAGAGTGAGACATTTGGTCACATTGTGGCCATAGTTAGGAAGCAGAGAGAGAGAGAGAGAAGAATGTTGGTGCCCAGCTCACTTTCTCCTTTTTATTCATCCTAGGCCTCAAGCTACTGGATGGTGTGACCCACTTTCAGGATGGATCTACTCTGCTTAGTTAATCTTTCTGGAAACCCATCACAGTAACACCTGCAGGTATCTCAGAGGTGACTGGAAAAATCTAGTCACTTTGACAAAAAAGATCAAGCAACATAATTTATTATGTAAAAAACTCCAGTTTTTACAGAGGAAGTCAACAAATGGATTTTAAAAAGAAATTTTCATTTTTTGGTCATCAGCCTTAGCCTTTAACAGCTGTGCTATCCCTCCAGCTCTGGAGGGGTTAGACAAAGCGAGAGATAAATAATGCCTAGCTTGTTTTAAAAATCAGAGGGAACCATATTAGTCCAACAACCTACTGACAAATTATACATAGCAGATCAAGAAATATATGTCTAGGTAAGGTTTATCTGAGAACAACTGGTCTTTGCCCAAAATTTATCTACATGACACACAGTAATTAAAAGTATCAGACTGCTGGAACTAACCTTCTTGGATGTTTAACAGACATACTTTGAGGCCTATACTAGTTTGGTCAGAGGGACATAAAGGACAGTTTTTGCTCCTTGCCGTCCTAGGTCGACTAGTTCCTGGGGACTATGAGCATCTCTCAAAATGTCCTGTAATTGTGGTGAGTCACCTGTCCTCTTGATCAAGGAGGCCAAGGAGACCCCAAGAGATTGGCTTGAACCAGTGTACAGTCTACAAAGGGGAGGGTCAACACAGAGGAAACATTTCCTCCATTCTTCCAAGCAAAGCCAGCCATGGTCGAGCAGGACTTTGATGTATCTTCACATAAGTGAACTGGTAAAAGAAAGGAGCCAGGGGCTCCTCCCAAGCCCATGTGACCCCTGAGGAACAGATCCTCACTATGGAGAGTACCTCACGCAAGCTCCACTGGAGGTGGCGTGACAACCAATATAATTTTTTAAGAGTCCATATGTATAGCTAAAGGCTACCTAACAAGCAACAATGCCAGATAGGAGATACCTTCTTTTGAGTTGTTGGCCAGGGTGGCCCAAGGGACTCCAAGATAGTAACCCAGCAGAGAACTGGGAAAATGAACAGCAGACCCCAATCTTATCTAAAGGGATATTGACAACCGATCACTGCTAGATGAGGAACAGCTGACCTTCCTAAAACAAAGACCTCTAGACAGACTGACTAGATTCACCAGATGGACAAGTAGTGGGGAATGGCCTGGGGTGCCGACCACACAGCGGACAGTAGCAGGGATATCAGAGTATAACGGCTCTAGTTGGGGGAGGGAGGCTATGGGAGGGTACCTTCAGGGAAGTGGGTGTGTAGTTGAATAATATGGTTTGGGATGTTCTGTGTGATATACACACACAGAAAAAAAAATCAACAAATTTTTTTAAATGTCTTATATTTGAAGAGGAAGCATGGAAATTTACATCATGTTAATTAGTAGAGGTGGTGAACATTACCATTGAAATCTACCCGATGACTTTATAGACATACACAGGCACCAAGGATCCAAGAAAACTCATTCAATTTTATGTCTTACAGTTTTTATACTGAGTTCAATATTGCATAACTGTAATAATTCAACTGTGAACCTAAAAATTGTATAGCCACTTTTGAAAGAGCTGTGTCTTTGCTTTGGAAACTGTTATTGGGCATGTTAAAGCTGTAATGATAGACTTCTTCTTAAAAAATAAAAAATAACATTTAAAAATGTAGGAAATAGCATATCTTGAAATGGAGATCTTCTTTAAAGAGTAAAAACTCATTCAATTTTATATCTTAGAGGGTTTATACTGAATTCAATATTGTATAACTGTATTAATTCAACTGTGAACCTAAAAATTTACAGCCACTTTTGGAAGAGATGTATCCTTGCTCTGGAATGTGTTACTGAGTATGTTAAAGCTGGAATGAAATGCTTCTTCTAATCATATGGTTATTAAATCTTTTTAATTAAAAAATAATTCTTCAAAGCATAAAAATTTGCTCCTTAATAATTAGTAGATGTGAAAAACATTACCATTGAAGTCTACCTGATGACGTTATATGCATGCACAGATGCCAAGGAACTCAGAAAGTAACCAGCTGTGACTAGTAATAATCAGATATATAGAGATTAGAAATGCATGTGCAAACATCTTAGTGTCAATTTCATTAAAAATGAATTTTTCTGTATAAAACTGTATTTTAATAATGAAATGGAGATCTTTTTTAAAGGTTAAAACCTTATTTAATTTTATGTCTTAAAGGGTTTATACTGAGTACACTATTGTTTAATTGTATTAATTCAACTGTAAACCTAAAAATTTACAGCCAACCTTGAAACAGACACATCTTAGCTCTGGAAATTGTTATTGAATATGTCAACGCTGTTGTCATGAAATGCTTCTTCTAATTGTATGGTTATTAAATAAATAATTAAAAAAGAGAAAAGGAAATTTGTCACGGTTCAGTGACCACAATTCAAGCCTGATGGGCTTGGGTATCCCAAGGTATAGGTGCAGAAGAAATCAGGAAGCAGGGGATGCAGTGGAGTGTGGACCAATGCATGCTTTATTCTAAGAAGCAACCTTATTTATAATAAAACAAGAGGAAGAGAAAAGTTCTTCTCAAGCCAAATGATCTCATTCTGACATTTGCAGTACCTTCCTGACCTTTACAATATCTTCAAGTTCCCAGGGCTCAGCCCTTTTTGGGATCTTATCTATCTTTGTAGCTTTATTATACAAGCTTACTTATGTACCTTTAATAGGGTTCAAGGAACAGTCAGTCTTATTATAAGAATAATTTGCGATCAAGAACATTCAGGTTCCCAAGGAACTGAGGCCTCCCATTCCAGCTCTGAGTTGACTTCAGATCAGAGCTCAGGCCTTCACAGAAATTTTCAAAGGCTTTCTTTTACCATTAATGTATGTCTTTTAAAAGCTCTGTCACAACAGAGCATCCATTCTATGGTGCCCTGACCAGTGCAAGAGGATTTATTTTCTTTTTATTTATGTTCTGTCTTTAAAAAAGACAGAAGACCTGAAATGAGGTGAGTAGGGAGGTGGGAGTGGGCTAAGAAAAGACGGGCATGGGGTCTGTATATGATCAAAATACATTCTATGGAATTCATGAGGAATCAATAAAATATTATTTAACAAATACAATTAATTCTCAAGACACTAGAAGGCAAGATGGAGGAAATAAAGATAAATATATTGAGTTCATTTAAATCCATGTTATTGGTATTTACAAATGTTGGGAAAGATCAGGGCTAATTAGTTCATAGCAGTAATTACTTATAGGACAACAAATATAATTATTAAAATAAAAGTTACATTTTAAACATTTAGAAAAATTAAAATGATGAAGTTTTTATTCCATATTAATGGAATAAAAGAAATAATATCTCATCCAGAATAAAGGAAATGTGGACAAGAAAACATTAGAATATAAAAATACTCAGAGATATTCTTGAAAAGATAAGATTCACAAATTTTATATGTAGTTAAAAAAACGAATTCCTTGTGGTACTATTGCCTTACAGTGCAATATGTATTTTAAACTATGGTTATCATGGTTTAAAATTTTCCCAACACTGTATATTTTGTAAATAATAAGCTTTGTTTAAAAATGAGTAATAAGAAAGTAAAATGAGTCAGACTAAATTAAACTACAAATGTAAAAGCAGAAATTCCAATTGATATCACAGCTATGTAATAGATCATAGAAGCTGATGTTGAGATATAAGGCAATAATTTGTGTGGCGCAGATGAAATGGATAAATTCCTTAAAACTTACATCATGCAAAGAAATAATTAGGAAGAACTTGAACATCTTAGGAGAACAATAATCAGTACAAAGTGTGATTCAATAATGAAGTCTTTCCTCCAATGAAAGTCCAGAAGCAGATATCTTCTGTAATCTTATAAAACTATAAATAAAAACAAAACAATTGCAAACTATTGAGAAGCAATGCCAGCATTTCCTTAACACAAAGTCAGTTATGGACACAAAAGAGTAACATAGATCAATATCCACGATGAACATAAGAAAAAAAACAGAACCTCAATTACAAGTACCAAACTGGACTCAATCGTATACAAAAGATAATTTTTTTCTTTTTCAAGTGTTTATTTTATTGAATTTATGCAGCCATTGTCCCAGCCCAGTATAGAATACACCATGAATGTGACAGGTGAGGAATCCAGGCACAGAGACGTGAAGAGGGCTGGATGACCTAAGCCTATACCTAACTGAATATATTGGTTTGGTAGAAAACGGCCAACCAAAATGATTTGAGGACTATACAACTACTCATGACTCTGAGACTCATGTTGTGGCTGAGTAAAATAGATTAACTTTTTTCTACAACTGGATAGGCTAATTAGGTGATTCTTTGAAGGAAGAATCACCTCTTACATTGTTCCACCTCTTACATTGACATCTGCCATGTAATTAGATGAGAGATACCTTAAGGACCACATTGTGTCCTCCTCGGTCATCTCCATCGAGGTCCTTATCTCCAACTACATCACACTAGTGGTAAATCAGGTCCAAGAATATGGGGTACAGCCAATCCTCACCACCACCCAAATGTCCCTGCCCACCCCAGGGTTCCCTCTGATGTCCTCTTCTAGTGCTTAATGTACTTCTCTTCCAGAGGATCTGAATTTAGATCTCAGCACCTAGGTCCAGGTATCTGATGTCCTCTTCTGGCGTCTGAGGTCCCTGCACTCATGTGCACATAGCACTCCCCAATACACGTAATGAAAATAAAATGGTTCTAAAAACTATTTCCAGCAGTCTATTGTTACGTTTACAAGAAAATCTCTTTAAATAGAGTACTCTTTTGCAGAAATAGACACAGAAAGCTAAGTGACTCGATTTCGGAACAAGATTCCATTAGGAAGTATTTAAATTTTTATTTATTTATGTATTTTTATGTTTATGAGTATTTTGCCTACGTGTATATAAGTGAGTGTACCCATGTATGAAATGCCTATGGAGGCCAGAAGAGGGGGTCAGATTCCCTGGAACTAGGCTTACAGTTACAGAGGGTTGTTAACCACCATGTGGGAAGCAAACCCTGGTCCTCTGCAAGAGCAGCCAGTGCTCCTAACTGCTGAGCTCTCTCTCACCCTATTTTAAATTTTTAATATCAGGTCTTTGGAATCATTGTTGAATATCTTTTCCATATTATCACAGAACCTGTTGGGTCTGTCTCATCATCATCGGCATCATCTTTGTCGTCAGGAGTGCTGGGTGCCTCAGTCGGTTTCACTCAGGTGGTTTTTGGGGTACCCCCACAACACCCCAGTGGTGACATGGTTTTTTAGAATGGCCAGGAGGGTGAGCTGTAGCCTAGCCATCGTTCCTTCCGGGGTGGGTCTGCACACCAACAAGGGCTGTGGTGTGATCCTTGGCGCTTGGATCAAATGAAGTCAGGGAAAGTTGAACCAAGGGCAACAAAAGCAGTTAGAATAAGTGAATAATTCTGCTTTTTTATAAAATGCACTAGCCTTTTACCACATAATAAAGAGAGGGAGGAGGGAGACAGTGTTGGGAGAACCAGAAACCTGCCTATCAGACAAGAATGTAACTCCCTTTCTCTAATACCTTCTCCTAAAGGAGAATTTTACACTTTCTTTCTTTCTTTCTTTCTATTTATTTATTTATTTATTTATTTATTTATTTTTGTCTTTTTGAGACAGGATCTTCCTGTAGCCACAGCTGGCCCAGAACTCACTATATAGAACAGGCCGTTCTTGAACTCACAAGAGATCCACCTGCCTTTGCCTCCCAAGTGCTGGGATTAAAGGCGCTTGTGAACTTTGCATTTTCTCATAGGTAGAGATCCATAATGAGCTGAGAAAACAGAGATGACCCTTCTGTACAGAATTAAGACAGCATTCCCCTAAAGTGTTTATCCTGATGATTCTAAATTAGGAAAGGAAGGAAAGGGTAGAATTCATATTGAGAGAGAGGGCTGAAGTAAGTTGAAAGTCTTTCTTTATAAAACCAAAGTAATAACTCCAACTGAAGCTAGACCTAGACAGCTGGTATAGGTTGTGCTGGACGCTTTAGTGTCAACTTGACACACCTGGGTTGACAGAGCCTGAATTGAGGAATTTCCTCCAAGGGACTTGCCTGTGGCCATGTCTGTGGGTCCACTGTGGGTGGACCTGTGCAGGTAGGCCTGGTTGTATAAAAAAGCAGGTTGAGCATGGGCCAGGGGAACAAGCCAGTAAGCAGTGTTCCTCCATGGCCTGTGCTCCAGTTCCTGTTTCCAGGTCCCTGACCTGAGTTCTTACCTTGGACTCCCTGATGAACTGTGACCTGGGAGATGTAAGACAAATAAACCCTTTCCTCCACAAGTTGGTATTGGTCAGAGTGTTTTGTCTCAGCAGTGGAGAAACAAACTAGGGCACAGGTCTTGCGGAATCTTCTGTGGAACTCAAGGCATACCGACCAAGTTTAGCCAGTCAGCTTTAGGACAGTTTATCTTCCACTTGCCATCTGACCTATGTGGAAGAAGGCTTGGCCTTAATTCCTGTTTGCATTTTTCAGTAACCTCTTTTCCTAAAAATAATTCTGCTGAAGGTCAAATAATGTTCAAGGGCAGAAGTTTAAAAGATGTTGAATTACATTCCTGCATTAGGAATTCTTGTCCACTAACAAGTCAACTGTATTCCTTCTGCAGTTAGCCACTGGGTCCTGTTTTGTTTTTAGTACAGGAGCACTTAGCCCTTTTGAAATGGTTGCAATTAATGTAAAATGTTTGTTTTATTAGCCTTTTTTATTTGAAATGTAAATAATTTTTCTGCTTTTTCATACTCAAAAGTAGTACAGAATATTGTGCTTAACATAATCACCAACTAGTTCATTTGAATGCAGGGTGAAGCCCCAGAATCCAAGAGTTTAGGCTCCACGAAGTTAAGGACATTAGCACTCTAAGAATAAAAGACTGCTGAGCGCAGTGGTGCACCCCTTTAACCTAGGAGAGGCAGGAGGATCTCTGTGAGATTGAGACCAGGTTGGTCTACATAGTGAGTTCCAGGCCATCTGGTACTGCACCCAGTGATACAGAGCTCACCCAGAGCCTAGGTTTAACTTTTCATCTTTGTTTTTGTTTTTGTTTTTTTGTTTTTTGTTTTTTGTTTATACAGCATTTGTAAAATCCTCCCTGTAAACACAGTCACTCAGAAACTGTAGCCAATGAATAAAATGTGTCACTTTTGTCTCCTTACCCCAGGTTGTTGGTGTAGCCCAGGCCATCAACAAGAAATCAGAAAATGGTGGGACATTCACTGGAAAAGATGAAAAGGTACAAAACTTAGGTGTGGAATGATGCCAACTTAGATGCTTTCTCATTACGGTGTATCAACCCCTTGAGTTAAGTTTTGAGGAACTGACTGACGAAGAAAAGCGTGGTGGCTAGCAGTATTTATTTGGCTCACTCGTGTTGATTTGACTCCAAAGGGCCTGAGTGTCAGAGGAACCGTGCTCCCAGCCCTCCTTGAGCTAGGTGCACACCAGGGCCACACAGAAAGGTACTCCTGGTATTTAACCATCTCATCTGCTGTCAGTGCTGCTGTACAGAGGCTCACCCATGAGAAAAAACAGTATTGCTCTTAGCTCAGTGTAGAGAGCCGTAGGCCCCCACCCCAGGAAATAGCAAGACCTGGTTCCTGGCAAAGCTGTTTTCCAGACATCAAGGCTGACCTGGTTTGAGATTAACCAGCACAAACATGTTGTTCTAACTCGGGCACTTACTGCTTGAGAGACTCCCTCATTTCTCATGGAACTGCCTAAGAAATTTTTGCATTACTTTGTAATCATGCAAATGTAACCTCTTAATTGATTTATAACCTTACTATAGAATTGTGGTGTTACTATGGAATTTACTCTGTGATCATTTGGTGTGGTGTAATTATGATAATTGTTCTGTTAATAGAATTGCTCTGCCTCAATAGATTTATCCCTGCCAACTTCCCCCTTCCCTCTCTATAAAAACTGTTCCTTCTCCATCAATAAATGAGACTTGATCAGAAAGCCTGTCTTGTCTCCATTCTTCGTGTCTCTTGTCCCTTTCAGTCCCCTCTCCTCTCTCCAGGTACCCACATTGACTGTCTCGTGGGTCGGGACAGCTCAGCACTCTGCACCAGCTGGAAACTGGAGGCTTCATCCTGGTAACGTGAATTTCCTAGTTCTAGAAACTTTGCACACAGACTTCAGGGCACCAAGGTGTGAATCAGAGTGGGTGATATTAATTTAGCTTCAGAAAGTACCATCTTTTATTATATTTCACACACCACACTGACACGCTTCCTTAAGTATGTTTATATCTTCATTCTGTCCATAGATTTATTACTCTGCCTATTGAATATGTGATGATGTGTATCGTCATAGCCCACTGCATTCCTACTGCCCCATGCCCGTGTGTGCTGATCCTCTGAAAGCTAGTTGGAGCTTTTGAATCTGAAAAACATTCAAACAAGGCAGTTAATTTTGTTTCTGTGATGTAGCTGTATTGGCACCTGTGTCGGCATAACAAGTGCCTTTTCACATCAGAGCAGTGCCCATCTAGCCGGCCTTCTGTGCTGCTGTTGACACCTGAGGCTACTTGGTAGAAAAGCATAATAGTTAGATCTGTTTTATGTCCACTATTTATTTATAGTTTGTTAAGGGGAACCTGTGGTGAATCAATTTGCAATTTCAGACTCCATAGATATGGTTAAATACTGCCATCTAAAGATGCGTTTTAATCAATAACTAGCATATAACTGGGCATACCACCTTATTAAAGTGTAATAGGGATGCCAGATTCATATTAAAAAGAATATATTTAAATATATGCAAACTAGGATTTCCGACCTTTATAACACTTAACTAACATTGCTATGGCCGATATCCTCTTAAATACATGAGCTTTCATTTGCCGTCATAGTAAATGAGCACCTGTTTGTTTGGCCTTAGAATAGACTTGAGTTTTCACATCATATACAACTGACATCAAACTTTGCACAGAGGAAGGTTATATATTATATAAAGAAGTCATCCTCTTAGTTCCCCTTCTCCTTCCCATAATACATGACATAAGGAGACTGCGTTAACACTTATCTCCTACATGTACCATTTAGCTAACACTTGGTATGACTGAGTTCCTAATTTTATGCGTAACAAGCATCTGCACTTTGGGCCTTTAATGTGTATTTCGACTGTAAGTATTTGTGGATGCTGTTGATGTTTCAGGCAGTGTCACTAGATGGTTTTATAGGAATTCTGACCTGCTCTTGTCTTCTGTCTTGTAGGACTTTGCTGCTTATTTGGCATTTTGTGATATTGTTCTTCACAAAGCTCAACTCTATGAAACGTCACTGCTGGAGAACAAAAGAAATCAGGTCAGTATGATTCCTTTTTTAAGAATTGGTTTTTGTTGTTGTTGTTGTTTTATGTGTGTGTGTGTGTGTGTATTGCTGCATGTAGGTAAGTGGACCCATGCCCGCGAAAGACAGAAGAGGCTGTCCGATCCCCTGGAACTGGAGTTATGGACAGCTGTTAGCTGCCATGTGCATGCTAGTATTCAAACCAGGGTCTTCTGCAAGAACAGTCTGTATTCTTAACTGCTGAGCCATCTCTCCATCCCCAGAATTGTTGTTTTTATCCAAGTCATGAATACACATAATTGAAATTCAAATTGCGGGGCTTCATTTTCTAAGCATTTCTAAGCAGTCTCTTCTTCCAGTTCTTTCCATAGTCCATGCTCAGTTCCTTAATCACTGTTAGGACAACAATCTTTGACTTGAGAGAGACTTACAAGCTGGGTATACATTCGTGTCATTAGTAATACTTCTGAGTCCCTGACTTGTCAACTGTAGACATCACCCAGAGGAACATCTTAGCATCCTTAGCCTCCCTTCCATGTCTTTCCCAACTCTCACTTCTCAGATCTATTTCCTCAGCTCAATTTTTTTCTTTTAAAGAATATTTTGTTTATTTATCAACTGTCGACATCACCCAGAGGAACATCTTAGGATCCTTGGCCTCCCTTCCATGTCTGTCCCAACTCTCACTTCTCAGATCTATTTCCTCAGCTCAATTTTTTTCTTTAAAAAATATTTTGCTTATTTATTATTTTTGTTTTCTTTATCTGTATGAGTGTATTGCCTGCATGTAAGTGCACCCATGTTGTGCAGTGCTCACAGAGGTCAGAAGAGGGTGTCTCTGTTTTCTTTTTATTTATTTATTTATTTTTATTTTATGTGTATGAGTGTTTCACCTGCCTGTATGTAAGTGCACCTGTGTGTGGAATGCCCATGGAGGTCAGAAGAGGGTATCAGATCCTCTGGGACTCAGATTTTCAAATGGTTGATATCCTGCCCTGTGGGTCCTGGGAACTGAACCTGGGGCTCCTGCAAGAGCAGCCAGTGCTCTTAAGCACTGAGCCATCTCCTCAGCCCCAAAGTCTCTTTCGTATGTCAGGTCATCCCATCGAGTCTGGAGATTTAAAGTACACCTTCAGTTCTGTGTACTCATTTTGACCATTTCCTTAATTATCACCTTGTCCACCCTCCCTCTTCTCTTTCAAGAACTTATGCTGTGACTGGGCATATAGCTCGTTGCTTTGGACTTTTTAAAATATATTTTTATTTATTTTTATTTAATCTGTATACATGTATTGCCTGCATGTATGTAAGTGCACCCATGTCATGCAGTGTCTAGAGTTACAGACAGTGTTAGCTGCCATGTGGATGCTGGGATTTGAACCTGGGTCTTCTGCAAGAACAGCCAGTGTTCTTAACTGCTGAGCCACCTCTCTATCCCTTGCTTTGGACTTTATACTTTGTGAAATATTGATAATGTTGGTAAAATTGATAGCAAAAGTTGACATCAGAAGTTGTCAGTAATAATAACCATCCATTTTCAGACAGATACTGTTCAAATTATTTTATAATCTGTATGACTGCCCAATATCCCCACTTTCATAAAAATTTCCCTAGGCTACCAAGGTAGCAGGAAGAATTAAAAACTGATTATTTTAACCTGAGAACCTGTGATCTTTCCACTATATTAACTAAATTAATGATCAGCACAGAATTTTGTTAATAAGCTAAGAGGAAGGAAATTTAATACTTGAGTTGAGTGTGAACTTAGTTATAGTCAACCTTAACCCGTGTCTTTAACCCACTCTGTTGCTTTTAAAACTCTAAACTATGTTATACTTGTCATCCTTTCTTGTCTAGGTGTTACTTGACCTTGCCAGCTTAATTTTTGAAGAACAGTAGTCATTGTCTAGGTGTTACTTGACCTTGCCAGCTTAATTTTTGAAGAACAGCAGTCACTAGAAGTAATTCTGAAGAAAATTGCCACCACCATCATCTCCTTCATGCAGGTGCAGAGGTGCACCATTTTCATCGTGGATGAGGACTGCTCCGTGAGCAGACTGTGGCTTTATCTTTAGCAC